GAGCTTTTGGTCAACTACAATGCATTTAAAATGCATCAGCAATCAGTAAGTTTGCCAACTGATGACAGTTAATCTGAAAGACTACCAGCTCTTGATATGATCTAAACCACCTGAGGTGACCATGATCTAGAGCATCGCAACTATTGTCACCGAAGTTAGTAAGTAAGTCACGGAAGACCGTCACAGACAAAGAAAGATTGTCAACGAGAGCTGCAATTTTGGTGAATCCCACGGCAACACACCGAGGCATAACGAAAATTCCTCAACTCCGTTCAACACAACTTTCCTGAACTTCTACGTCTGTATAGTATGCACCATGCAGCTCAGTTGAGTCTCATAAACCTTTATCGTGATTGTCGTCACAGTACCACGTGACCCAGATCTGTTGCTTCATTTTTGCATATTGAGGTGAGGTTTACTAAAACGCTTTTTTTCTACTAATAGATTGTTTTTGTAATTTTTAAATGGCGGGGATCGATTAAAACATACCTCTAGTGTATAGATTGAGTGCTGTATCTTCAAAATTCGAGAAATGGATTTTTACATGAACATTGTCCTTTAAGCTTGTTCGAGAGATAATAATAGTCGCGTTTAACAATAGATAGCGAGTTATAGTAAGACCCCCTCCTGTTAATTGACCGTACTCTCGTATATTGTATGATCACACAGCCAGACTTCCCCCTGTTGCACGTTAGAGTTGGATTGTCCTTGCGCCTATGTCAATGCACCTCATTTAATTTCAATATTATAATATAAGCATAGTATAAGTAATATATTCTTTCCTTATTCCTCTTTAGTTATCATTCATGTTTTAAAAATACTTGAATGCAGATGTTTCAAATTAAAACGTAAGTACATGAATACATTATACATTTATAAATTAATGCAATAAGAATTTTGTGCCACGCGTAGCGAACCGATCTTTTGTTCACTGATTTGGCACGTACAGCTGATTATATTTTAGTGTTGCTTACAAACTGCTAGTTAAATTTGTTATCAGTTATTTCATCAAATATGAAATTTCCGCAGTCAAAAATTGAACTAAGTATTGTTTTTTGATTGAGATGCATGAGCGTCAGCATCAATCTGTCTCAAAAAAATTCTTATTGCATTAATTTATAAATGTATAATTTATTTATAAACGTACTGCATTCAAGTATTTATAAAATATGAATGATAATGAATGAGGAATAAGGAAAGAATATATTACTAATACTATACTTATATTATAATATTGAAATTAAATGAGGTGCATTGACAGAGGCGCAAGGACAAACTAACTCCAAAGTGCAACCGGGGAAAGTCGGACTGTGTGATCATACAATATATGAAAGTACGGTCAATTAACAGTGAGTTGCTATGCCTTTGGTCCTTTACTATTAGTCCTCTTAAACGCGCCTGTTATTGTCTCTCGAACAAGCTTAAACCATGCGTATACAATTACTGTGATCATCCTCACTGTTTAGCTACTCGCCTATAATGTGTGCTGAACGACAAACAACTTATAAATATTATCTGTGTTACTGTGTAAATGAACACATTTAGTTAAATTATAACGAAGTCGGTGATTTAATCCATCCAACATATTTATATTTGTTCTTTCAAAACCAGTGTCAGGTTAACGCCAAATCAAAGCAAGTCTTGCAGACTGGTTTTGTTTAAACTGTCGTATATTAAGTAAAGCTAAGTAAAGCCTGTTTCTACTTCGCAGTGTTCATCCCAGCTACAGTATAAAACGGCATGAAGGATAACAAGACTCCGTAGTGAATTAACTTTCACAATGCCCTGTGCTTCAGGTTACCAGGATCCCGTGTAACACGTTAATATCGAAGAGTATGGCCTGAGAGTAATACAAATATGAGGTCGTGTATGAAAGATTTTAAAAATTAGAAATTCAAGAATTTAAACATTTCACAAAAATAGCATCTAATTGTATAGATTAACCTCTACTTTTATCGATCTCATCGCCTTGTCTCAACCACCTAAAAGAAATATAGTGCACATGAGAAAAAGTAACACGTTTACATGCAGGCGAAGGAGGTATACTTCAATATTTATCGCGAACAATATCAACAGCGACTCAAGACCATTGCCCGTCTTTCGCACTTTTACACGAACACACGAAGGTTTAATAAAGGGAGTCGCGGCGCGATATCTATCTCTTTCCTTCGAACTAAGATCTAATAGCTTCGAACAAGCAAAGGGCTGACCCGCAGTAAGCTTTCTAAACTAATTTCCTTTTTATTGTATATTGTAATTATTGCTCGCCTCCATTGTCTTGTAAAAGCGACAAAGAATGTGTTGTATTCACGCACAAGTTGAAAGAACTTTGCATTCCTCATTTGCCTTGTTGCATAATGTCTTTCTCAAGGTTATAATCAGTGTGAAGAGGGTGTCTTGCCTCATTTAAAAAGGGAGTTGTTCTTCATACTGGTTGTTGCTTAACTTATGCTAACCTACTCTGTACAAATATGGTTTCAATAAATCGCCAAAATTATGACATTAAGGATCATTGTGTATCAAACGTTAAATGATCGCCATCTCGGCTCCTTTTTCTTTGACAGCAACATAAAAAGTGTTTAGGGAAAAAGTCACAAAAAGACCCGACGTTGTTTTGTCTTCAGCATTTCCTCTTCCTTGTTTACTGCAATTACTATCGTCAATTAATGAAATCGAGAAAGCAATTAAGTGACGGCACATTGAATATAGTCACTAGGTGCATTTCGCTGAGTGTTTACTAGATCTAGCGATGCATTTTATCGCCACGCGTTCTAGTCTGATTGTTTACGGGAGGGAGGGGGGTAGTTAGTGGTATTTGTATGTGTAGTTGGATAGAATCAAATAGTCCAGAATGGTGTACGTACAGGTTTGAGAAGTTAAACATGAAAACGTTTTCGACTGATAATAAAAAAAACATTAGGAAAAAACGAAATAGAATGTTTGGAAATTTAAACAGTTACTCTGTCAGCTTTGCGTCATGGCTATGAATCTGACATCGAATTTAGGCCAAGATATTAGTAAATTCAGAATTATTAGCTAAAATGTAAATTGCCGTAATTTTTCAGATAATCAAAAATGCCGGTGATCCAAGCGGAGGGTACGCTTTCCTGAAGGTAGCGGCGACGAACGGTGACGATATTTTTCTGAACAGTGAACCTGTATTAGTTACGAAAAGCCCCCTTTTTAACAGGCGATTTTATTAATTACTTCATGTCACAAAGTAAATTTATACAGGCAAAACTTTATGCAAGGAAATAGTTTCACGAAATGAACGAGAGTAAAATATAAGTCGGCACAAATATAAGTCATACAACAATGAGACATGTTATGGGTCATGTTATGGGCCATGTCGGATTATAATGGTATACCTTGATGCAAAACAGTCTATCGTTTCTTCCACCTCGAGTTCCTTTATTTAATGTATTGTATTACTCATTACCCATTTCATTTCACTCTCTCCTCTCTCTTCTTCTCTCCCTTCCCCTTTCTCTTGTTAAAAGGATGGTAAATAATTAAGCACTCAAAATCTGCATCACCAATCTTCAGAAAAAAATAAGTCAACGAACCAGTGGACTGATCCACAACATCCGTCCCAGCAGATTGAATCAAATAACAGCTAGCACAAATTTATATGCAGATAGCTATAGTGTCACTACACACATAATCAGCTGCACGCGCGACGCTGTTCAACAAAAGGATAGTTCGCTACGGGAGACCATTTGTTTACATAAGTACTCTAAGGGGACATGGCTACCCAGGCGACCAGGGGATTAGGCTAGTTACTATATGCCGTCAACAATCGTTTAGCGACCCTATCATTATACACTCCCTCTTTTGTATTTTCCACCGCATTAATCGCAGTGTAATCTTCAAATGGTCCACGGGGTAAATATACACATTCTTAATACTAGTACGGTATATAGTATTTAAAGCATGTCTGCAAAGAATCCCGCCAGTTTTTATGATCACCCGGAATATAAAACAATGTTTTTAATCATCATCTGATTTGGACTATATATTCTTATAACCTTCAGTACTTCGATGCCTGTCTGGAGCAACTTGAAATAGACGCTCTACAAAGACATGACGAAATATTGGAGGTTAACAACGTAAAACATGCATAATGCCTCTGTGATTCCGATCGTCTGTGACATTTTCACGTAGATCTACACTTACTTCAACTATCAGGTTGTGATCGCTGTGCAATTTCTTCCCAAACGCTTCATCCGACGCTTGTGCAAAGGGAAGCGTGAAATATCGTTAATGAATGAATATAATGAATGATAGAATGGATATTACACCCCTTGACGCAAAGTCCGTGACGCCAGACAGAAGAACTTGTTCCCCTTCAACTGAGGGTCGAAAACCGGGGCAGTCGTCCTGGCAGAAAATGGGTCACGATATCAGTGTGAACTGGAGCTGTCAATGAGGTCAACGGGGCCTGTCGGGTTTATTGATCCATGAGCGGGACAAGTATGTCACTGCGTACGGTCATACCTCTGCTAGCTTATAGAGGAATAACTTGATTGATATAAACCATAGTGTACTAGTACATGGTATTATCAAGCTACATATATCAATTTAAGTTTCAGTTTCACCAATAAAGAGATATATGCCGAGTCAACTGCTCACAACAGTAGGTTGATACCCCCTACTAGGGCCACAGATTTCTTTTCACAAGGTATTCACAGATATGTCTTTAGATTTGCTTAACGATCAGTCTACTATCTCTGATCTTGTGCTAAAATCTCTAGGTTGATTACATGGCTGGTAAATTGTTTGCGTAGCTGCTCAGGTACTGTCATTTAACAGACCCAAGCCTACATGTAGTTCCTTTGACAGCAACTAAGACAGTTATTTGATCTGATTTAAATAACTTGCTCTTTTGTGACAGATAAAAATAGCCCCTGCTGAATAGCTTGTTGCTACTTAATGAAGTAGACTGAAGAATCTCCTGTAACTGTTCCCCACAGAGCGGGTACAATGCCTTCAGTGCGCGTGAGGATTTAATCACTTCCATGTGGCCAAAAATCACAGGGTGGCTTTTGGCGTTTTTTCCTGTAATGTCTGCATGTCACCCTGGTAGAGGGTAGTAGGTTGATATAAACCGTAATATACATGTTATAATCAAGCTACATAAGGTACTGTAAGGTCTTCTTGTATATGGTATGCCATTACCTACAGTGAGAATTCTAGCTGTGATGATAGGTCCCACTTAAAGAGAAACGTACGTCTGTGTGCGCATATTATTGTATTCAATACAATTGCCACTGTGCAAGTCCGCTTTACAAAGGTAATAAAACCAACTATTGATCTTTACGTATAAGACCAGAATATTTACCCCATTTTGACCCAAGATAAAAATGTGGCAGTCCTCCAAGCCCAGTTGATCCTTAATAAGCAGTGACTCGTTTTCCGTAGGTAATAATAATATATACGATACAAAGTAAACACTTATCATGAAGAATAAAAAAGTTCTGCCATTTGTTATCATAAATATTTGACAGCATATTGCCCATATTTTTTACTCATATTAAAGGTGTATTGTGGAAAAACCTAACCAATGAGACATTATATACATATTTAACACTGGTTATTTCCCCTAAAATTCATCGGAAAATATCTGGCGAGAAATTTGGGTCTGCTCAGAGTACTGGTAAGCATCAATTGAAAAGCATAACGTAGACTATGGCTAACTATTAGTTTTCTTGTGATTATTTGCATTTTGAAATTATCCGAAACCTACAAAGACAGACGCGATTGATTTTTTTCTTTACAATATTCTAAATTTTTTGATATTAGAAAATTTTGAACGTTTTTATTGCAAGGTGATGATACAATTACTCTCCAGCATGACTTAATATAATATAAGATAAAACATAGTTTGTTGGGGATTGCTGCTTGNTTTTTATTTTTTTTTGTAAGTGATATTTAGTATGTTTCCATCTTTGACATTGAAATTACAAATAGTGGTCAGTAGACAGAAAATTAATATTCAAAGGTCTTTGATGTGTCAGTTTTTTTCAGAACTTTAAAAACAATTGAATTGCATATATATTTGAAGGGAGAGTGTTTTTATATATCATTCAATATAAATGAAGGATAGGATAGATTTTAACAAGGGTGTATCGCAAACACTAATAATTTAATTCGCTGTTTGTTTTATAATTTCAGATGGACATGGATAGCGGCGCCACCACACCTGTTTAGAAGAAACTACATAAAGGACATTGAATTCATTTCAGTATTTTTGGTGAATATCTGGTCACAGAACATACAGTTAGGATTCTGGACCATACACTGTGTACCATACAGTCAAACTTTCCTATCATGCTCTTCATCCCCCATAAAAGCCCAGGAACTGGTGCTTGATTAGAGATTCATTAAGGCACTCGCTCCTGTATCTGGCTTGTCTTTCACTTAACTGAACAGTAGGGCCCCCTTTTGTGCATTTGCAAAACAATATTGTAACTGGAAAAATGATGTTTTTTGTGAGAAACCATCACACTGTGTGATATATGCATATTTAAGGGCAGCTTTATTCTTTGTCTTCTCAGTTTCCTTGAAGACAGTTAGAATTCCATTGAAATATATATATTTTTATAAGTTAAAATTAATGCGAGAAAGGTGACTTTATTTCTAAACAGTCATCTGAAGGCTGGCTGGGTAACTTTAACACCCAGAGATGTCTTTGAATGAAAATGATAACCTGATCATGTCAAAACTGTTTAGAATATTTTTAAAATATTAATGTAGAAACCTTGTTATGATCTGGGAATTGAATCATATAGATTTGGTGATTCAGATGGAATGTACAAATAAGTTTGTGATATCTAGGATCAGTCTTGGTACCATTATGAGATTGTCTGATGATCCATGCATCTAGCATTGTCAGATTTTGTACAGATTTAATTTTTGAAATATTGATTGGATAGATGTTCTGATTCAGAAACACATTTCTGATTGGAAAGAAATCTCTTGAAACCAGTTTGAAGAATCTGATGATTAGACACTAAAAGAAAGCTCTTAAAACTCAACATTGAAGAAAGAAACGATAATTGAGCGTATTTTTGTGTGACAATGGATATTTTAAAACGTAATCAGTTGGGTACGTTGGTTGGAATTATACGTTAGTTGGAATTATTTTATTTTGTTCTGAAGGCAGCTTTGCATTTTAAAAGTACAATAGCAATATTATCATGTTTGTTACTTATGTCAACCAGATGTTCTGAACTGTGGATTGAGACTTTTTAGATATTTGAAAATCAATTTGTAATGTTAATGGAGACACTTAAAAGTGCCATGTACATCTTATATGTAATAAATGAATATAGAATGGATATGTATGTTCACATGAGAAAGATACCATTTGCCTCGCATCTTCAAATCTTGCCGATCACACCCTGTGTTGGCGCCAGCTATAGATGATGATGTTGCTTTACTTGTCTGAACTTTGGCACATATTCATGCAAAGGCCAATTTAGACTGCTAGTAAACTTTATTTATTTAGACTACTAGTACTAGTGGACTTAATCAATTTAGACAGCTAACAGTATTTAATGACCAAAAATCTGCTTTACAAAGGAAATAAAAGCCAAAAAATTTATCTTTGCGTATAAGCCCAAAATATTTACCCCATTTTGACCCAAGAATAAAAGGTGTCACAGCCCCCAGCCCAGTTCACCAAAAGTAAGCAGTGATTCGATTTGCATAGGTAGTTTCAAAATCAAATAGATTACATTCTACTTCACCAAGTATAACTCAAATAATAAAATGTACAGTGCAAGGTAAAAAACTTTACATGAAGAATAAAACATTCTGCAATTTGTTATCATAAACATTTGAAAGCAATGAACCGGACTGCAACATATTGCTCATATTTTTTTTTACCCCTTTGAAAGGTGAATTGTGGAGAAACGTAACCAGTGATACATTAAATACATGTTTAACAGTGGCAGTTTCCCTTCCAATTCCTCGGAAAATATCAGGCGAGAGATTTTGGTCTGCTCAAAAGTACTGATAAGCATCAATTGAAAGTGGAAATGTAAATCCTTGGTTTCAAAAGCGTAACGTTGATGAAGGCTTACTACTAGTTTTCTTCTGATTATTTGCATTTTGAAATTATCTGAAACCTTCAAAGACGGACACGTATGAATTTTTTTCTTTTCAATCTCAAACTTGTTTGGCATTAGAAAAATTTGAAATGTTTGGCATTCGAAAACATATTTATTGCAATATAATGATACAATTACTCTCCAGCATGCATATGACGATATTATATGAGGTATAACCTAGTTTGTTGGTAGTTGCCGTTTGGACTGCTGAACGCCCCAGCCCTGTTCATCAACTATTGCTATTATTCCGGAATGGCTGCGGTAAAATTAGGGCCGTCCTGGCCGTGTCGTTCAGGTCCCATCGCTGTGTAACCGCCATCTACCGAGAGATCAGCGCCAGTGATAAAGGAAGCGTCTCTGCTGCAGAGGAAGACAATGGCGGCGGCAATTTCCGAACATTCACCGTTTCGGTTCATCATGTGGGTGCTACCGTAAAACGCTCTCTGAATTTCGTCACTTCCAACGATAGCGTCAAGCTAAAGAAATTCAAATAGATAAGTGGATATTTACAAATATTGTATTTAAAAACCGTATAAACAGTGTTGTATTGCGAGAATGAAAGAAAGGAAAATATAAGAAAAGTAAGAAATGAAAATAAGTTTTCAAAAAAGACGAGCGAAAAGTAGAAAACGATAACAGAAGATGAATACGCACGTGATAATCTAGAAAAGAAAATGATTCATTTATTTGTTTCCTTGACTTACCGGTACAACATTTAGTTAATTAATATAGACAGGCAAAAAAATATTTTTCTAATCTAATCTACCTACAGCAGGGGTATTAATTATTCCAGGAGAAACAGAGTTGACCCGTATTCCGTCTTTGATTAGGTCAAGCGCCATGCACTTGGTAAGCTGTAAGATCGCCCCTTTGCTACTGTTGTACGTCCAGTGCTGCTTCTGACTGCAATGGGCAGATACGCTGGCGATATTTACTACGGCGCGCGTTTCTGGTCCCTCTGGGTTTAAAATGAAGCGCCATTGTGTTAGAAAAATCATAATACATTGATTGTGATCGTCAACGGATATTCACATGTTATGTGCATGAAATCATTCAATATGATTTGCAGTTGAAATACGCTAGGCGAGGCAATACATTGTGTTGGAGGAGACAAAGCAATCTATTCAGAAGAGAAATCACAATGACGTTGGTAAGCG